CGCGCTTCACGCGCGAAAAGGTCCCTTCTCCTTTATAGACCTAGTGTCCTACCATCTTTCAAGGCCAGCAACGCCCTTGACTATACGGTATTATGCTTTTAGGTACTACCCCCAATTGGGCCAATTTCATCCTATTATGCTTTAAAATGATTACCATGCACATAATTATGCTCATATTTTAAGTTTTACCCAAATATCACTGAAGTGACTGAACTATCAAGTAACATTTAGCTATAAATGAAAAAGTTACAAGTTACATGTAGCTGCATAAAAGACATATTGTGACAATTTTATATTGCTTGTGTCACTTATATTTTAAATTCCACGCAAATGCTTCCACTTCTGGTCCAAAGTCAGTGGGATGTAGTAAACATGCATCTGTTATTATTGTAATATTTTAATAATGCCAGAATCTGAAAATATTTTCAGCTGGAAAATAGAATAGTCTAAGTCAATGGACTTGCTACACTTGCATATACATGATGTAGGTGGGTACTAAGCATGGGTTGTTCTACTAGACTACTAGTACTTGTAGCTACCACCTGCCATATTGAATTGAAATCATGTGGTCAGGGGAAATTTTTGACCCATTCAATTATTCTCTAATTATAATTATAATTTTACAAAAACATTATAGTTATAGTGACTATTCTGATAGTTCTTTTGCAATTTCCATGACGATAGGTGCAAGGATAGGAACTAGTATACCTGTAACAAAACTTAGCAGCTGCATAGTGATGCCACTTTCTTTTTTATACCAATTCACAATGAATCCAGCAATAACTACAATCAAAGCTGTAATGGCGGATCCAAAGATTAATATTCTCAGAACTATGAGAGTTAACATAATAACTTCTGGTACACTGTTACTTACGTGTTTTAGGAATCCAGATGGATGCATATCCAACAACAAAAACAAATAATAATACTCCAATTAATAATCCAGTAACAAACAACACAAGTTTGTTAGTTCTCTCTATCCTCTCTTTCAATGAAACAAAATTATATTCTACATTTATCAGGATGTGTATATTGACTTACTTTTAATCTGTGTACATGTAGTTATTGTACTGACTTCATTTTGAGTTCCTATTTCTGAAGAATATATTCTTATCACATGAGGATATACAGTTAAAAAATTTTAAATTATTAAAGTAATAACAAAATGCAATGAAAGATCCTTGAATTAGAAAATGGTGACAAAGCCAGTTATCAGAGATAAAAGTATAATTTCTTTCTTTTAGCAAGTTTATTTCAGTTTTAACTGTCGGTGTAAAAGCAAATTTACGTTTCTCTTTACTTTCCTAGTGTACACATACACACTCACCTTACTGTCAGCAATCCTACTTTTTGCATTAGTTGTACTTTTACTGTAGAAACATTTTCTCAAAAAGCATTTTACAGTAACTTTCTTTTTTTATTGCCTAAAAATCACTTACCTCTTAAATTGAGTTTACATAAGGCACTTGTCTTTAGGAAGAATAGCCCAAGTCTATAAACTTCAGACGCTTCACAAGAGTTGGTAACAAATAGAGCTTAATAAATGTGTGTCTCAGTACAAGTCCAAAAACTTAACTTCCAGCAGTTAGTCCAACAGACATGTGCCATTTTACACTATCAATTAAGAGCCGATGCACACTGCAGTATGCATGTTTATACCACGGATAACCTATGTTTATAAGCATACACATGTGCATGTACCATAATTACTATGAAGGTGGGTTCTCAATATGATACATTGTTTTTCATACGGTAGCATCATGACCGGAAGTGCTGTACAAATATATGTCAATGTGTCAGAATAGAATTTTTTCAAATCTGACACATTGATGCATGCTCTCATTTGTCTATACAGCACTTCTGGTTGTGATGGAAGCGCATGTGTCATACTGAGAACCTGCCTTAATGAGATGCACGAGCAATCTGTGCATGCACAGTATCCAGCACATGGCAGAAAATGGCAGGATAGCAGTAGTCTAGGCCCAGCCATTCGCAACTGCATCGACAAAAATAAAGCTCCTGCAGAAATAAGTGCTAGAGAGAAGTTCCCAGAAGGCCTTTGTTGTTTGTGTCAAGAAACTAAAAGAGAGGGATAGAGTTTGATCTCCCAGCCAATGAGCAAAACGCACATTTGTCCCTGGTAGATCTCATAGATCTTACAGTAAATATAGAACATATTAATATGAACCATGGTTTTTCGGTGAGTATCAGTAATGTATGACCTTAATTCGCTCCTCAAAACCATGGTTTATACAGTAAGTGTTCAAATAAAAGCCCGGGCATTTATTTCTTTCCAGGACAAAAAATTGCGTAAAATAAAAAAAAGAAAAGGCAAAACTGAGATTCGAACCAGGACCTACTGGTTCTTTACACTCAGCTTAGCAAATTAGGCCCCTTGGGACACTCTACAGATTGTGGTACTTATATTGAGTAAAATATGCGTATCTATACTTGGAGATTCTTAGTACCAGGCGTTTATTCAAGCCCGGCCTTTATTTGAACATTTATGGTACTATGACTGGAAGTGTCTTATGCGTAACACAACAAGCAAAAAATTTGTTATGTACACATTTACAGGCACTGCCAGTTGCAACATATTGCATTGTGCACAGTTTGACCATAAATATTAGAGTAAATGAAAGGGATTGGAAACTTCCGTTTGCGGCTGAAAATGCTAGTTACCTATACCGTATTAATTTTAAGCCAATTTGCTCTAATTAATCGTATGTAAAATTGAAAATGGCTGGAGAAGTGAAGCAGGTAGGCATACATTTCATTAGTTTTTGGTTGCATATTGTCTTATTGGCCTCGCCCAGCTTTGCGTAGGCGAGGACTAGGTACTCGGTTTGTCTGTCTGTGTTTCATTCATTCATTCATTCTGTGTGCTCTCTTTTGTCTTTGAGAATGTATATCTTTATAATCGCGCACTCTAAATCTGTGAGAGCTTCTCTTCTGTTAGGAAAAGTCTTGCTTCACTGCCTTGAGATGTTTAGAGAGCAGCTCAAGCTAGTAGAAGCTTTTTATCTCACGAGAAAATGCCCAGCAATAGCAGTAGTACTCTGGTGGTAAATGAGACTCTTTTCCAGTAGATCAAGACTAGTTATTGTTTTAATATTTGTGGCACTCTTTAAATCTTTCTTGTTGGTGAGTTATAGCTTCTTGAATTTCAACCCGAGTGAACTGTAGGTAGTCTAAAGGTCCTCAGGCTCTTAAATCACTCAATTTACATCTAGGCAACAGTATTTGTGCCGTTATAATATCATATAGCACTTATAAGAAGAGAAAAATCTGAAACTTCCTTCTTGTTGCAGGGCTTGCTGCCATCAAATAATTAATTAATAGTTGTTGAGATGTCAGGCCACACCTCCAATTTGGGAGTAGCTGGAGTAGCTTGCATGCTGCTACTTCTGCAGGTAGTCTAGTAGATCTATACAAGCTAGCTGCTATCCTTCAGGAGTACACTTGTTTTATATATATATATATATATATATATATATATATATATCCAATTTGCATGTTAAAGTTCTTTTAATTTTGTTTTGTACATATAACCCTTCATTAATGTAGAGGGACACTCTTTCTACTTGCCCAAGTCAGTAGTCTGTTATGGCAATCATGATGTTTGCAGTTGGAATTCATTGTTGATCAACACTGCAATCATTACTCACCATATTACATGTTTAATTGTATATTTTCTGTAATTTATAATCTATATGATTGAGAGTGAGCTAGTGCCCTCCAGTGTGTTTTAAGCATTAGAACAGTGTGCGGATAGTTGATGTCATAGATCCTTTAGTTTTTATGTTAAGGGTACAAAACAAACCTTTTGAACTTAACAGTAAATTGATCATTACAGAATGACGGAATCATACTTTCAAATGAAACAAAGTGGGTGCATTACCTCCACCTAGTGATGCTCTATTGAATGATTGAATTAGTTATCATTTGTTTAACACTTTCATCAGTGTAAGTAATGATGAATGCACCTAAAAAGTTGTCTGGGGATAGAGACTTGTTTCCTCTGCTTTATTTCATATAAATCTTGACAAAATTAATGACACTACTGACTAATGACAGCCTTTGACAGGTCACAAACAAGATGCTTTCATGCTTAAAGTCGGCAGCCGTTGCTAAGAAAAGGGGTAACCCACATCCGTTGCCTAGCAATGTACAAAGTCAATGTAGCAACACGGAAGTTTCCAATCCCTTTCATTTACTCTATTATCTATGGTTTGATTGTAGCCACACCCAGACACCCTCACATCTAATTAGCAATCTATCCTCGGCTCTATCTATTTTTATGTAAAATGTTTTAAAAGATGAGTGAAAATAAGTCAGAAATGATTGTTGCAAGTGTGCTGTATAAAAAGGCTGCTGTAGGGTTTTATGATGTCATACTCACGTCGTCTTTCTTCATCAATATATTGAGCTACAGCATACTCTCCAATTTCTTCAAGAGCAGCTATCAGTTTATCTATTGTTGGATTTTCTACTCCATCAGCTCCACTCAACCAACTAGCCAAACACTCCTTAAAACAAGAACGAATATCTCTTCGATTGTTTTCTTTTATCTCCACTAGTGTAGAGTAAGACAAATGAAGGTATAGACCAAGGTCAAAATATGATTTCAAACTGAAATGATACTTCTCAAGTAAGTCCACTACTTTATCGAGGTCACTAGGGGCTATAGCAATAACATTATTACAATAAAAGATCATTAGTATACATATACTCAACTCACTTAAGGTTCTTCCACTCAAAATGGTCATGTCTCGCCTATCGGGTCTCGCTGCCCAGACACTCCGCCTACTACAGTCTTCATGATGAATGTAGGTGGAGGGTCTGGACCCACGGTTCTGGTGTCTTTTTCTCTTAGTCTCAGACAGCAACCACAGCAGAGGTTTGTTCCTCTTCTCTAGAAGTCAATGGCTAGTCATAAAAGCGGAAGTGGTATTGGTCAGCCCCTCCACTGGTCTGAGAGGGAGAGAAGGCTGTGGATACTAGTATTATTTATATGTTCAATACTTATTTATGCTGCCAGGTCCTCCCTCTCTGTATCTATAGTTGAAATGGCCTCAGAATTTGACTGGAATAAAAGAACGTGTGTAAGTGATGGGAGGAGACTCTCATTAGTAGCTCCTCTTTTGGGTTTAATATTTTAGTTGTATTCATATTTGCCAAAATAAAATGTATCTGCCATTTAAAATCATTTATGTATGGCATGTGGCCACAAATTAGCCAAATTAAAAATTGATCCTACATGTACATACATTTAGCAGTTTACATGTAGTTCCTCCAAAATACAACACTTCTTTTGCTACATGTACGTTTACTAACTTTTTTTCTCATTCTCTCTCTCTCTCTCTCTCTCTCTCCCTCTCTCTCTCTCTCTCTCTCTCTCTCTCTCTCTCCCTCTCTCAGGGTATCATTCTCTCCTCATTCTTCTGGGGTTACAGTGCTACTAGGTGATAGGAGGACAGTTAGGTGATAAATATGGTGGAGAGCTAGTACTGTGGACATCAGCACTGGTTTGGGGTGGGGCAGTTCTATCAATATCTTTTGTAGCTAGTATATCAACCACTTTAGTATTTGGAGCTCATCTCACTAATGGACTTAGTCAAGGTAAGGGAGAGAGAGAGAGAGAGAGAAGGTTTGAATTAAGGAATAAAAGTAGTTAAATGAAAGTAGTATTTAAAATTAACTTGATATACATTGATTTGTTTTCAAGTTTCATGTACATGCATTAAATGCTCTTATGTATGATCCTACATCAACAATTGAAAATGTATATACATGTACATGTACATTCTTAGGTGTGTATTTCCCTGCTATTGCT